GTCCTGAACTGTAATGGTCTTATAATACTTTTCACTCAAATAATTTATTAAAAAACAAACACAAAAAATAAAAGAAACATTTTTAATCTTACCACACTGTACCCTGAAAAGTACAGTAATACAGTGCAACAGCTGGTATACAGGGGCCGGCATCAAGTGAACAGGCAAGAAGAGTTACTGAGCAGGGAGAGGAGGTGGGAGATGGTAGAGCTGAAAGACTGTCAGCAACAGAAGACGGACAGCAAGCTGTATTGTCACTCATGCCTTATGTGATTGGATACGCCAATGTGTGTTTGTATCTTTGAAAGTTTGCAACTTGAAGGTTCCTAGGTAGGGGATTACAGTACCTAGTTTTCAGATGTCAATTGAAGCTACCCCATGACTGAAGGATATACAATGATCTTTAAACCTGAAATATCCATAATGTCTAGGCAGATGTCAGAAAAATGCTCCAATGGAGATGGCAGTGCCCAGAAAAGTCCCATCATAAGATGGAAGTGGTTTTCCTAGGATGGTGCTGCCTGCGGAGATGGTTAGGAACAGGAAGCCTCTTCTCTGAGGACTGAATCTGCATCTATGTGAGCAGTTCTGAATTCCATCTCTGGACAGCAAATGCCCCATTAACAGCTCTTAACTGACCTTCAAAGAGCTGCTCAGTCTATGGACAGCAGTTCCCAGGTGAACAGACAACCTTGTCTTTGGAAGGTCACCACTCTGATCAAAGAAGGTGAAAACAGGTCAGTCTGGTGGGCTGAACTGCAAGCTGTTTTCCGAGCTGTGATGGGAGAATTGGCAGTGGTGATATTTCCTATGTTTTGGTTTCTACAGACTCACGGTCAGGCAGGAGGGTGATGGAAAACTAGCTTCTTAAAGGGATGCCTGAGGACTTGCCTGGTGGGCCAGTGGTGAGGACTCCTAACCTGCGCTTCCACTGCTGGGGCCTGGGTTTGATCCCTGGTTGGGGCACTAAGATCCTGCAAGCTGAGAGGCCAGGCCAAAAAGAAAAAATTAAAAATAAATAAATAAAAGGATGCCCATATGGGGCACAGCCCCGTGGAAATCACTTTGGAAATTTGAGGGCACTTGTAAGTAGGATATGACACTTCAGTGCCCATTGTTGGAACCCTCTTCCAGCTTAATAAGCAGAGATTTCGGTGTGTTCACTTAAGGTGGCCACAACCTGGACCCATGAAATAAGTGGACATGGGGTCTCTGCAGCAATACTGAGATGGGGCTGAATCTACACATGGCCCTCTTGTACCCCCTCCTGAGGTGGCATGTTCTCTGGGGGGCAGGCCTGGATCGTAACTGGCAGGCGAGACTAATGCTGGTGTCCTGGGGGTGCACATGGGTCCTGCCCGGAACAGATCCCGACTCTGGAGTGGGCTTTGCTTACCCAAATACTCAGAATGACATAAAATATTTGGAACAGAAGATATTGTGCCAGTTTGCATGGCCGGTCATCATTTCTTCAGACCAAGGACCCCACTTGGTAGCCCGTGATGGCCAAAGTATCCGTTTGGTAGGGAATTGGAGTGAGCAGTTGAAACACCAGTTTAAAGTGGACCAGTAAAGAGCTGGGTCACACACCTCTATATGTAACACAGGCATGGGTGTGGCCAAAGGGGTGTCCCCACTGGGGGATGTCTCTGTTTTTCTGATGGGTCCGGGGAAGACAAAGTGGGGAGAAATGCAGATCAGACTATGCAGTTTTTGCCAAGGCAGGAGGATACCCATATACCAACTCATTTTTTTTTTTTGTTTCCCGCCACACCACTTTTTTTCTTCCCATCTGGCTTCCCAAGTGGCGCTAGTGGTAAAGAACCCACCTGCCAATTCAAGAGACATAAGAAATGTAGGTTTGATCCCTGGGTCAGGAAGATCCGCTGGAGGAGGGCATGGCAACCCACTCCAGTATTCTTGCCTGGAGAAGCCCATGGAAAGAGGAGCCTGGTGGGCTACATAGTCCATAGGGTTGCAAAGAGTCAGACACGACTGAAGTGACGTAGCACACACCTGCTCCTGTGGTCAGGGCTGCAAATACAAGTGCCCAAGACAGCGATGATTTCCAAATAAGAGACAGAAACACTACTTCAAACCTTATGTCAGAATTCCTAAGTGCCTGCTGGGGCAACGTACACCTTCACCCCCCGACAAAGTTAGGGTCGACAGTGAATGCAGCTACAGTGATGCTGTTTAAAGATAGCTCACCAGCTCCAAGGCTGTATCCTGAGCCCTTCACCTCCCACCTGCTTCTGAGACAAAAAGGAGCAGGCTCTCAGAGGCAGGCTCCCCCAGGAACTCTTGTGTACAGACCAAGGTGTAAATCAACACTTTGCTTTTCAAAAAAAAAAGCTCACCAGTTCTGCACCTGTGTGACCACACGCTCTGTGGGCCGAGGAGGGAGACACCACTGGACTAGCATTGCTGCCTGCATTTTGGACCAGGACAGTAGCCCAACCTAATGTCCCTTCCAAAGGTGGAAGCCTTTGGGGAATCAATGCAGAGAAAGTAGAAGAGGATCAGTGCAGAGAAGGCAGAACAGGAGCTAAGGGTAAAGTAAAGATAAATGAATTATGTCATGAGGGAAAGCCAGTATTACATAAATGCCTTGAAAGAGGCTCAGATCAAGAGATGATATTGTCTCTTAGCTCGATTACAGCCAGATGCCCGGAAGGGTGAAGCCATTTGTGCCAAGACTATTCTTGCTTTTGGAACCTGACAAGATCAGATGGAAGCCTGCAACCTCACCCTGGCTATGGATGGGGGTGATTGCTGACTGCGTGGAATTCTGGGACACGACAGTGTCTTTCAAGTTACATATTGTTTTTTGGGGGGTTTTATTTGGCTGCACTGGTTGCAGCCCGTGGGATCTTTAGTTGTGGCATTCAGGATCTAGTTCCCTGACCAGATCGAACCCTGGGCCCCTTGCACTGGGAGCACAGTCTTAGCCATTGGACCACCAGGAAAATCCCAGCGTTTCCCTGAGTTCTGTGAGCTGGTCTAACAAATAACTGAATCCGAGGAGGGGGAAGGCATGGGAACCTCTGACTTGTAGCCAACTTGGCTGACCTGGGGTGACCTGCAGACCTCCTGCCTGCATCTGAAGCAGGGAGCAGTCTTGTGGGCCTGAACTCTTAACCTGTGGGATCTTAGATAACTCTAGCTATCAGAATTGAGAGACACCCTGGCTGGTGTCACACAGAATTGCCTGATGTGGGAAGAAACCCCACACATTTGGTGTCAGAAATGTTGTGAGTGTGGCCGTGAGCGAGAGCAAAAGAGAGACCCAGGAGGAGGAGGAGGGGACGTTTTCATTGCACACAGGGATCCGATATGGACTGAGCTGTGTTCCTAAATTCATAGGTTGAAGTCCTAACCCCCAGCCCCTCAAAATGTGTCTGCATTTGGAGACAGGACTTTAAAGAGGCGATTAAGGTAAAATGAGGCTGTTAGGGTGGGCCCTCGTCCAGTGTGACTGGTGTCTATGAGAAGAGGGGATATGGACACAGACACCGGGGCTGCCTGAGCAGAGGAAGGTCCGAGTGAGGACACAGCCACCTGCGAGGTGAGAAGCCTTGAGAAAAACAACCTTGCCTCCAGAAGTGAGGAAATAAACTGCTGTTGTTTGGGCCACCTGGTCTGCGGTGGTTTGTTCTGGCAGCCCCAGCGGCTCAGCACAGGATCTAGATGTTTTAGTTTGCATCTCTAGTTTGCTAATCCTGCTCACTATTTATTTTGTTTAAAACGCACACGGGGGTCCCATCGCGGCCCAGCCCTGCAGACCGTCCCCCGACAGGAAGTCCACTCCCCCTTCCTCCTCATCTTTTTCCAGCTGCTCGGCCTCTCAGCACCCGGCTCCCCGCGGGCGTGAGCGGCGGCTCTGCCTACTGGGTCTCTTCCCATTCGTCCTCTCCTCCGCGCTGCGCTCCGACCGACCTGCCACAAGCGCTCCAGCTCCTGCGAGGATGTTGTTTAGTCGCTAAGTGGTGTCCGAGTCTTTGCGACCCTGCGCACTGTAGCCCGCCAGGCTCCTCTGTCCAAGGCATTTCCCAGGCAAGAATAGTGGAGTGAGTTGCCATTTCCTTTTCCGGAGGTTCCTCCCGACCCAGGGATCAAACCTGAGTCTCCTGCATTGGCAGGCGTATTCTTTACCACTGAGCCACCTGGGAAGACTTGCAAGGCTGTTACTGGATTTTAAAAGCCTAGCACCTGCCCCAAGGTAGCCCCCGGGTCTGGGATCTAGAGATGCTAGAAGCTCGGCGTGGGAGGCAGAGACCCTCGCAGCCCACGTGGTTAGGGGAATTAATTCGGGGACCACCGGCAGCCCCAGGCGCGCACACCGGGGCGGCGCGGGGTGGGGGTAGCCGCCCGGAAATCCCCCAGCCGAAGCGCGGGCCGCGCGCCCTGGGGTCTCCGGGAAGAGCGGTGGGGGGAGGGGAGGGCCCGGAGCCGCCCTTCCCCCGGGCCCGGCGGCGCGGATCTGAGAAAGCAGAAGCGGGCGGCCCTCCGGGGAGTCCCATTGGAGCAGGGCTCTGGGAAGAGAAACTTGCGGCCGGGCTCTCTCAAGCGCTCCGGGAGGCCCTGGATCCGGCAGGGTCTTTAGCCATCTTCGACAAGGGAAGGTTGGGCCCCGGCTCCCCGCCTCGCCGTCTTCGCCTGCCCCGCCCCGCCCCGCCCCGCCAGGCTAGCCGCTCCTGTCCCGACGACAGGCCGTCGGTGCGGACGGGACCGGTGCGCACCCCCGGGAGTCCGCGCCGCAGACCCGGAGCCCGCGCCTCCCGCACTTCCCGCGCCCTCTCAACCCTCCCGGCCCTCTGCTGGACGCCCCGGTGCCCCCCGCATCGTACCTCCCAAGGTCCCGGATCCCCGCGCGCCACTCTTTCACCCCTTGCCCGCTCCTCGTACCCGTTGCCAGGTCCCCTGAGCCCTTCCGGGCCCCCGACCTCCTCCTCAGATCTCCGGGGCGGCGCCGGGCAGGTCCCCGGGAGCCCCGCCGGCCGCCGGGGAGGAGAGCGCCATGCTCCGGCTCCTGGCCTTGCTGCTCCCGCTGCTGCAGCCGCCCGCGCGCGCCCGGGAGCCCTCGGCGCAGGACGTGAGCCTGGGCGTGGTGAGTGCAGGGGTCCGCCGGCTCCCATTTGCAACAGAGCTGGGAGAGGAGAGCAGGGGCCTCGACTTCTGGGTTCAGAGAGGGCGGGGGACGCTTTCCAAATGTCCAAAGAGTGACCGAGGATGAAGACTGGGAACCCGAATCCTTGGATTCGTCAGGAGGTTGAGGGCCGGAATTTGGAAATCTGAAAAAGGGTTGGGGTGGGAAGGTGGGGACCCTTGGTAACAAATGAACACTAGCAAACCCAGGGCTGGAGGGACTGGACCTTGAGGTGGGGAGCAGACGGTTCTCGGGGCTGGGGACCTGGGGCTGGCCATACCTGGTGAGAAGTGAGGCTTCCAGGATGGTGGTTGGATGGGAGAGCCCCTCCACAAGCCTTTCTCCTTCCCCTGTTTCCACCTCTGGTCTAGGACTGGCTGACCCGCTATGGCTACCTGCCGCCCCCTCACCCTGCCCAGGCCCAGCTGCAGAGCCCTGCAAAGCTGCGGGATGCAATCAAGGTCATGCAGAGGTTTGCTGGCCTGCAGGAGACAGGTGTCCTGGGTATGTGGCCCCCACCCCCTCCCCAGCCCTGTCTTGGCCCGGCATCCAGCCCATCCCACCAACTGCAGGGTCTAAACATCTGCATGTAGCTGAATCACCAGGGGCTGTGAACATGCTGACTTCAGGTCCCAACCCGGGAGGTGCTAAGACATTCCTGTTTCAGTAAATATTTATCAGGAATCTCTTCCCCATGAACTGACATGTGAGGTCATTCCAGGCTCCACTGGAATAGTGGTGAACAAGGTAGAGGAGGTCCCCGCTCCCAGGGAGCTAATGTTCTAGAGGGAGAGAGGCACAGAGCAAGAATAGTGATGAGTGTTCTGAAGAGAATAAAATGCTAATGATCCTCAGGGGCTGGTTCGGGCAAGGCAGGCCCCTCTAAATAAGGTCACGTGAGCCGGAAGGAGCTCATGTGACATGAAGAATTCCTAGGACACTAAGAGGGGGAATCAACCCTGGGGAGATGGAGGAGGTGATCTCGAAGGCTGGTGCAAAGGCCCTGTGGCAGACACAGGCTTGCATGCCTGTGATGAAAGGCGGACTGCAGAGCTAAACAAGAGCCTGATTAGGGGCCCAGAAAGGTATTTTGGTTTGACTTCCGAAGTGATAAGAATCCCTGAGAGGGTTTGAAGGAGGGAGGCAAGGAGACCTGATTTGCAGTTTTGAGTTTCCTCTGCTTATTGGTGGCGAATGGAGAGAGTACAGAGACCACTGTGCAGGCAAGGATATGATGAGAAGCGGTGAATCCAGAATATGTATTTCGGAGGCAGAGCTGAGAGGCTCGTCCGTTGGGTTAAATGAGAGGAAGAGGGAAGCCGAGGGGTCCTGTCCAGATGCGAGGGAGGTAGGAACCTTCTGGCCCCAAGATGTGCTCAGTTGCTCCTTGTCACCTCAAACCACGAGATGAGGTTGGACCTTCACTTGGAGCCGAGGGGACTGCTGGGAACGGAGCTGAACTGGGCAGGGGGATTCCGGGTGACCTGACCTGGGAGGGGCTTGCCACCAGAGACTAGAGACCTGGCTGGCCCGGGGACTTTGAACTTGACCTGGATGTGATGGGGACTCGGGAGCTAGCCTGTGAGGTGTGAGTAGCCTCCCAGGGGCTTCCAACCTTTAAGAGAGGCATTCTCCTGGCACCCCCAGGGTTCTTTCTCTAGAATCCAGCTGCCAGGACTCAGGGAAGCGGGCCGCCCAGATCCTGGCCTGAGGCTCTTGCGTCTATCCAGAGGGTGATAGTACCCAGAGGGCAGTGCCATAGTTTGGTACGAGCTGGCATTCAGAGTCAGACAGCCTGGCTCCCAGTCCAGGCCGTGGGGCCTTTGTGAGCAAGTGTTTGGAGCTCTCGGAGACTCAATTTGCCCATGGAGAATGTTAGCTCGCGCCTGCTGCTGATCCCCCCGTCTGCTTCAACCTCTCCCGCAGACCTGGTGACGGTGGCCACGATGCATAAACCCCGCTGCTCCCTGCCCGATGTGCTGGGGGCGGCGGGGCTGGTGAGGCGGCGGCGCCGGTACGCTCTGAGCGGCAGCGTGTGGAAGAAGCGGACACTGACGTGGAGGTCAGTCCTGGCGCCCTCTCGACCACCCTGGGGTGCCCTCTGGGCCCCAGCTTCATGTGTCTGCCCTCTCTCTGCAGAGCTCCTCACTTGGCCCTCCTCTTTCCAGGGTCAACTCCTTCCCCCAGGGCTCCACGCTGAGCCAGGAGACGGTGCGAACCCTCATGCACCATGCCCTGACCACTTGGGGCACCGAGTCAGACCTCAGGTTCCAGGAGGTGGGTCCGCAGGGGCCCACGGAGCCTGACATCCTCATCGACTTTGCCCGGGCCTATCACCAGGACAGCTACCCCTTCGATGGGCAGGGGGGCACCCTGGCCCACGCCTTCTTCCCGGGGGAGCACCCTATCTCTGGGGACACGCACTTCGATGATGAGGAGACCTGGACTTTTGGGTCAAAAGGTACCATCTCCCCTCTTCTGAGAGGTCCCCTGTCCAGATCTGCCTGTCCTTAAGAGTGAAGTTTACATTACATTTACTGATGGAGGCTGTATCAATTGGGCTTCTCCAGAAAAACAGAACCAGTAGGATGGGTGTGTGCACGTGTGTGTGGAGAAAGTGATTTACTTTAAGGAACTGGCTCACAGAATTGCAGAGGCTGGTGAGCTCCACAATCTGTAGGGCAGGTCTGCAAGTTGGAAATTCAGGAGACTTGATGGTGCAGTTTTGAGTTCAGTATTTGCAGAGCAAGCCAGCTGGAAACCCAGGCAGGCTTTCCTTGTTGCAGTCTTTGGGCAGAATTCTTTCTTCTTCAGGAAACCTGTTTTGGTTTTTAATGCCTTCAACTGATTAGATGGGCCCCGCCCATACAATGGAGGATAATCTGCTCTACTTACCATGGCTTATAGATGTTATTCATGCCGATAAAATAACCTCCACGACAACATCTTGACTGGTACTTGATCAGGCATTGGGATACCCTCTAGTCTGGCCAAGTTGACACAGAAAATCACCCATCACAGAGGGGAAGTCCAAGTTGGGGCTGAGGACTCAAAGGGGCAAGAACACAGGTCTGCCAGTAGCTGAGTCAGAAGAGTAACTGGCAATTGCTACACAGGGTGTCACAATTACGCAGAATCACAACAGAGGAAGTTCTTAAGCCTAGAGGTGCTCACACGAAGGCTGGCCGAAGGGATGGGGACTTCCTGGAAGCAGTGACTTTGCTTGTTTCACATATGTAGACAATGCATGCCAACTAGTGCCCAGGGTCCCACTCTCCTGGAGTACCAGGGCGGGGGTGGGAGGGGTCACATAAGGCACAAGCCAGTGAGCTCACTGAGGCCAGGGGAGTCAGAGGTGGGGGTACAGGGGTGAGGAATAGCCTGGGATATTCGGGGCTGGAAGGCACACATGTGCTGTTGGGAGCAGACCGCAGAGGATGGAGGGCCAGTCTCATGTGATGAGAGGGACCTGGGGGGGCACATGGAGGGGTCTGGACAATCGGATTTTAAAGGCAGTGGGAGCTGTGGAAGGTTTTGCATTCTAGAGATAACACTGGCTGTCGTGGGGAGCAAGATGGGGACAGGGAGACAGGGAGGTAGCTGGGGTCGAGGTAAGAGACGGTGGGGGCGATGGGGATGGGGGCAGAGGGCAGTGGGCAGCTCAGAGGGGAGTCCATCAGGATGGACAGAGACTGGGATCTGATTAGATTCGGCAGCAAGGGGGGTGAGGATGGCCGGATACCAGCCAGGTTTCTGGCTCAAAGTCCCTGAAGAATGGTGTCCCATCAATGCAGATGAGAAGAGGGCGGGGAGGAGGAGCAGGCTGGGGAGGGCAGGTGAGTTCAGGTCGGGGCCTGTCTGCAGTGCCGAGTTGGTGCAGGTGGTGCGTTGATGGTATCTTGTGCTAGAAATTTGGATTTATCAAACTTAAGTCAGGTTTCCCAGAACTGGAGCGCAAGAGGAAAATTCTTGTGCAAGCAGTTTTGGGGGGCACATTCTCAGGGGAAAGGGAAGCAGGAGAGACGTGGGGGGAGGGAGGGGGGAGAAGCTAAGCTAGGATGTGGTCTCAGCTGGAGAAGAGCCTGACCCTGCAGGGAACTTCTGGAGAGTAAATGGCACTCACTCCAGGGTTGGTTCTGCCTGGAGGCAGGGGGCCTAACTCTTCCACTCCCCATCCCTGGAACTGCTGGGGGTGGCTGGGCCAGGAGGGAGAGCCATTTGCTGGCAATGGGTCCTCAGGCTCTGCAGAGGGACTTAGGTGAGGTGGGGATAGCAGACACAGATCCACCGCAGGGAGGCTGTGTAACAGTGTTTAAGAACTTGGGGTTGAAGCTGAGCTCAATTCAGGGTTCCTCTGCCTGCTGCTGTGTGTGCCAGCTACTTGGCCTCCATGTGCTCCGTCTCCTCACCTGAGGAATAGGGATAATAGTATGTACTGGTCCCATGGGCTTGCAGATGAAACGAGTAATTCACCTACAGCTCTCAGCACACTGTTCATGGTCGGCCACTATGAGCTGGGTCTCCCAGCACATTTGAGAGTTGGTGATACCTGGGGGGTCAGGTTCCAGGAGAAGGTAGAATGAGAAGACCAAGTTCAGAGGTGGGGAGGTCTCACAGTTAAGGGGAGGGCGACAGGCAGTGAGTGGGTGGGGGAGGGATGAAGGCAGATGGAGAAAAACTAGGTTGAAAGGTGATTAGCGAAGACAAGTGAAGGAGGAAGTGGGCAGCAGTGAGCAGGGCTTCAAGTCATCCAGTAAGTTACTTACGGTTGGATCTCACCATGTGGGGACAAAGTGACCTTAGTGCCCATGGTTTGGTGGGTGGAGGGAGAATCCGGACCACAGAGGCGTGAGAGGAGCTGAGCAACAGAAGGCTGAGTTCAGACTGCTGACCAGAGAGCTTGCTGGGGCGGGGGGGGAGCGGGCTGTGGATGGTGGGCAGACAGGTCCAAGGGGTGTCCTAGGAAGAGGGAGTCTTGAAGACTCAGGGACAGTGGATGAGCCAATAGAAAGAAAGAGGTGGGGGATGAGTGCATGGATAGCAGATTAACGGATGGATCAATGAACCAATGAACGGACACACGGATGGATGGAGGGACAGATGGACGCATGCCTGCACGAAGGCAGAGATGAATGGATGGGTGGGGCTTTATCCTTGTCCTGGAGGAGGTGAGTGAGGCAAGGATCTCTCCGAGGGCAGGGCAAGAGGCAGGAGATGAGCTGGGGGGGGGGTGGCGGTGGCGGGGATGAAGCTCTGTGCCCCATGCACAGAAGCTTACCGATGACACAAGCGGCCTGTCTTGATGAAACAGGAAATTTGTCATCTAAGAGTTGCCGGCTGGGACTGGGTAGCACCTGGAGGGGCTTTGAGTCTGGATTTGAGGCTGAATGGGGGGAGCAAAGGAGCTGCCTGCTGAGGCCGTGGGTGAGGGTGAGGGGAGGTGCAGAGGACCCCCAGAGATGAGCACTGGGAGTCTCTGTGGCTGGATCTGCACGGTTGTGTAATTTCCCTAGCTGAATAGCGTGACAAGGGTGCAAGGAAGGGGTGTGGGCAGAGGAGAGGCAAGGACACTTTGGGGGGGGTCGGGTGGTAAAATACGAAAAAGATCTACCTGATAAAGACACCAAATGTCCTCCATCCAGTTTCTTAGAAAAAGCTCTCTCATATTGAGAAAAGCCACAATCAACATGGGAATTCATCAGTACTTATGAGTTTGACTAAGACATCTGAAACCACTGCTGAGAAGTGGGACAGCCCAGCCAGGGTTCCGGCTTCCTCATTGAACTTGACCTCTGTGCCTCAGTTTCCTCACCTGTAAAATGAGGATAGGAGGTAGAAGTAACTGAGGACAAGCCTTTGCTGCTCTGCTTGTGACTCACTCATCTTGTCCTTAGATTCTCACTTAGTACAGGGGTGGGGAGGGGAGGCGAGGACCCCAGGGAGGTGGGGGTGGGGGGTGGAGGCTGTGGGAGGGAGAGATGGAGCGGAAATAGAGCACTGGGGGTCCTGGGTACTAGCCTGGTGGGGATAGAGGGAGGGGGAGAGAGGCCATGGAGTCTGACCTTCCTTCCCTGTGGGTGCAGAGGGGCGGGGCCTCTGGAGCTGTGAGAAGGGAGCGTCCCCAGAGCTGGGGCTCCCTCAAGAGAAGCACACACCCGGAGGATCCTGCTTCCCCTAGAATGTTTCCTTTTTTTTTTTTTAAAAAAAGAATATTCATTTATGCATTTGGCTGCACCGCCAGGTCTTCCTGCGGCCCTCGGGATCTTGCTGCCTGCAGACTCTCAGTTGCAGCCCGCGGGATCTAGTTCCCTGACCTAGACCCCCTGCACTGGGAGCGTGGGGACCAGTGGGAGTTCTCCGCATAGCGTTTCTGCACGCTGCCTTCCTGGGACAGCGGCTCCATCCTTATGCAGTTGCTCCTCCCAACTCTTTCCCTAGTCAGCCCGTCCCTCGCAGTGTGCAGCACTACCAAACCAGGCGACAGGACACTAGCCACCAAATAAGTGCACCCATAGAGGACGGAAAAGATGACTCAGGGAGGGGGTCTGGACAGAGGAGGCCACGGCCACCTCGGAGGGTCTCCTGGCTGCTTGTTTGCACCAGAAGGCCCCTTTCTCCAGGGCTTCCTGGGGGCGCTAGGGGTGGGGGTGGGGCCCAGCTCCAGCGCATTCTCTCTTCCTCCCCAGATGGCGAGGGGACGGACCTGTTTGCTGTGGCTGTTCATGAGTTCGGCCACGCCCTGGGCCTGGGCCACTCCTCAGCGCCTGACTCCATCATGAGGCCCTTTTACCAGGGCCCAGTGGGCAACCCCGCCGAGTACCGCCTGTCCCAGGACGACCGCGACGGCCTGCAGCAGCTCTACGGTACCGGGGGCGGCGGGGTGCTCGCCCCCTGGGGGCCTCTGTAGTGGCGTCAGGGTACCCAGCCCTGTAACCCTCTCTCCACAGGGAGAGCACCCCAAACCCCATATGACAAGCCCACACGGAAGCCCCTGGCTTCTCCTCCCCCGCCCCCTGCCCTGCCCCCGGACAGGTGAGTCCTCTCCAGGTAGGAGGCCTTGGATGCTCCCCCTAACCTCAGGGTCCTCCTTTCGAGATGGGCAGGTGAGAGTCCCTGCCTTGTAAGATGTGGTCAAGATTAAATAAAAGGAGTGGAACCCCGCCCCTCCTCTCCACTCACCTCTCTTTTCCTTCCCAGCCCCCCCCAACCCCTCCCTGATCGATGTGATGGCAATTTTGATGCCATCGCCAACATCCGAGGCGAAACTTTCTTTTTCAAAGGTAAGTGACTTCCATCTATCTCCCCGACCCCATACACCTGGCTTCACACTTAGTGACCCGCCGCCGGGGCCCCGAGGGTCGCAGGGATGCCGGACTTTCAGTGCCAAAAGTGGGAAACTCTGGCCCAACCGGTCACTGCAGCCTTGATTTTTGATGGACCTCCGGCCCCGCCCCGCCCCGCCCCCAGCGGTGGGGGAGGGGAAACCCCCGACTGTGTCCAAGTCACACCCCGGCGGGCAAGTGGGGTGCGGGGTATTGGAAGGGTGTACAGAAGGGGTGACCTCCTGCCAACTCATCTCAGGCCCATATGCCCACCCATTCATCCTCCCCCAACTCGCCCCCCAACCTAGGCCCCTGGTTCTGGCGCCTCCAGCCCTCGGGACAGCTGGTGTCGCCCCGGCCCGCCCGGCTCCACCGCTTCTGGGAGGGGCTGCCAGCCCAGGTGAAGGTCATTCAGGCCGCCTACGCCCGGCACCCGGACGGCAGGATCCTCCTCTTTAGCGGTCAGTGGGGTCCGGGTTTGGGGGGTGGGGGGCGGCGGCTAGCGCCGGGCATGCGCAGCGCGGCTCACCGGCCCCCGCCCCTTCCTCCGCCCGGTCCCGCCCGCAGGCCCGCAGTTCTGGTCGTTCCAGGACCGGCTGCTAGAGGGCGCCGCGCGGCCGCTCACCGAGCTGGGCCTGCCCCCAGGAGAGGAGGTGGACGCCGTGTTCTCCTGGCCGCTCAACGGGAAGACCTACCTGATCCGGGGGCGGCAGTACTGGCGGTACGACGAGGCGGCGGCACGCCCGGACCCCGGCTACCCGCGCGACCTGAGCCTCTGGGAGGGCGCGCCGCCGGCCCCCGACGATGTCACCGTCAGCAACACGGGTGGGAGAGCTCGCGCACCCGGGGGGCCGGGCGATGGGGGGCCGGGGGTCGTGGGGTGGTGGGGCCTGCAGAGCCCGGGGTGGGGGGAGAAGCGGTGCGGAGAGAGGGGTTTGAAGGGTGGGCAGGCGTGGACCAGCCCCTCAAACATCTCCCTCCCCGCAGGTGACACCTACTTCTTCAAGGGCGTCCACTACTGGCGCTTCCCCAAGGGCAGCATCAAAGCCGAGCCAGACTCCCCCCAACCCATGGGTCCCAAGTTCCTGGACTGCCCCGCCTCCAGTGTGCGCCCTCCGGTCCTCAGACCCCCCAGAGCGACCCTTAAACCCGGAGACTGCGACTGTCAGTGCGAGATCAGTCAGGCTGCAGGGCGGCCTTCGGTGCTCCTCCTGCCTCTTCTTTCCCTGCTGGTGGGGGGTCTGGCCTCCCCCTGAGGGGACCTGCGGCTGCCTGGAAGGGACCAGATCGCCCATGGGGCCCCCGCGGGTTGTGGCTGTGGGAAGTCTGTCCCAGGCGCAGGACTCAGCCAGGATGCAGCTGGGGATGCCAGTGGAGCTAAGTCCAGGAGGCTGGAAACAGAGGGCGGGCCCTGGCACTGAACACCGCTGTGTGCAGCCAACTGGGCCTTCCTCCCCTGCCCCTGGCCATGACCCCGCAGGACTCTCCTTTTCCCGGAACACCTGGCCTTTCCCAGAGCTCAGGCGGCTGAATTCCTGCAGCCCTGGCCCCGCCTGCCAACAGCAGCTGTCCCAAGTGCTTGGTTCTTTACAGGACAGCCCCTTGCTGAGCCAGCTCTCCAGCCTCTGCTCTAATGTTTCTCATCCTGTCCTCCCTCCGCAATGTCCCAATCGAAGCACATTGATGGGGTCCCAAACACAGCTCTGACACCACCCCTGAGCATGTGTCCCAAGTCTGGGGTGACATCAATGGTTCACATGTGGGTGAGGCTCCTGGGATGGACCCTGTGGCCCATCCTTGGTTCTGGTCACCATGCTGGTACCAGAACTGCCCACATTCAGTAGGACACCCTCCTGCTCCTAAAACACCTCCACACCTGAGCCTCTGCCGCCCCCTCCAGAACCCCTTGGCTCCCATCAGCTTGATGCTGGTGGGAAGACAGTGGACTGGTCCCCTCTCAGTCTGGGGTCACTGCCTCCTCAATGCTCCTGGGTGACAAGTGGGAGGAACCTGGGCCACCTCAATGACGCCCCTCCCCACTGAATTCGGGATCTAAATGAGTGCCTCTACAACTCTGCTTCTGGAATATTCCACACAGGATGACCCAGGAAGGGAGTTCCCTGGTGGTCCAGTGGTTAGAATCTAGGGCTCTCACTGTCGTGGCCTGTGTTAAATTTCTAGTCCCAGAACTAAAATCCTTCAAGCTGTTCCATGTGGTCCAAGAAAAAGAATGACCTAGGGAACTTTAAAAATGCAGATTCAGTGTCTTCACTGTGAATCCTCACTCTGGGTCTGGGGCCAGGAATCTGCATTTGAACAAACTGGGTGGTTGATGTGGGGGTGGACTGGGGGGTGGCCCCGATCTGCAAGGGACCAGGGCCAGCAGCTGCCATCTCTGGTCTCTGTCCTCTGACTGTGTGTCCCCACCGTGTTCTCCACCCAGGGGCCCACCTCTTCCTGTGTTTACAGAGCCCAGTGCATGCCCTGGGGCAAAGAGGTTCACCCCCGTGGCTGGAGTCGCTTAGTCACATTTCTTGGGTTGTCACCCAGCCTCAGCGGGCCCACAGTGCTGCCCACAGCTGACCCAGGGGCGTGGAGCCCAGCGTGGTCACGACGAGATCAGAAGGAGGATGACAGCCAGGTGTCTTCAACCAGCCAGAGACCTGGGAATTCAAAGGCACCAGAAGCCCTCTGGGCTTCTGTCAGGACCCTTTCTAAGTATCAGGAGGAGGAAACTTGTATTCGCAAAGCTTGTCAGCCCTGAAGCAGGACAATAAAAATAACAGGAGAAAGCACCCTTTATTTCCTCAGAGCAGTGATGGAGCCAGGCTGAAGTTTGGTGACAGACCTGAATCACTGTTTTACAGAAGAGACTGGAATCCAGCATTGATGGGGGACAGAGTGGTTGAGAATGAATTGGGGGAGCAACCAAAAGTTGGTTGGAGGGGCCCGGAGAGGGTAGTCCCATGTGACATTTGAGGCTCCTTTCACTGCAACAATGGACACTTCTTCAGCCTCTCAGAGTTCATGAAGCCTTCTTCACAAAAATGCCACATTGCATTGAATTATGTTATTTAAAGAATGGGAAATAAATGATACAAATTATTAAAATAGAAATGCTTAAAACTTTAGTATTTCAAAGGGAAACATCAGAAAACTAAAAAGACAACCCACAGAATGGGGACAAAAAATTGCAAATGATACATGTGGTGAACGGCGTAGAGCCAGAAAACATACCTTGTGTGTGTGTGTGCACGCTCAATGCAGTCTCCGTGGCCCCATAGACTATGGCCCTCCAGGCTCCCCTGTCCATGGTGTTTTCCAGGCAAGAATATTGGAGTGGGTTGCCATGTCCTCGTCTCGGGGATCTTCCCTGACTCATGGATTGAGCCTGGATCTCTTGTGTTGCAGGCGGACTCGACCACTCAGCTACTGGGAAAGCCTCGGGAAATCGTCTAGTGGTACCTCAGAAAGTTAAAAACAGACTTGGGGATTGCCTGGTGGCGGGCCCTGGAGGATGCTGGCTTAGGGGTGCAGGATGGTTTCTTGAGATGATAAAAGTGTTCTAAAATTGACGGTGGTGATGGTTGAGTAGTACTGTGCATTGAATTAGGCACTTTCCAGGGTGAATTGTATGATGTGTGAATTATATCTCACCAAAACTCTATAAAGAAAAGGGTTCAGCCCATAGTGAGACACGAAAGCCTTTCAGGAGGTGGCCTTCCTGAGACAGATGTGGAGGTGCCCGGTGTCACATCTCAGGGAGCCAGATCAGCGGAGGTAAGACCTGGAAATGAGCACGCAGCTGAAGCCAGTGAAAGCCACTCAGGCGTATCTGACTCTGTGACCCCCTCCATGGGCGATGCAGTCTGTGGGATTCTCCGGGCCAAGATACTGGAGTGGGTTTCTTTCTCCAGGGGGATGTTCCCGACCCAGGGATCGAACCCAGGTCTCCCGCATTGCAGGTGGATTCTCAACCCTCTGAGCCACCAGGGACGCCTGCGGCTGAAGCAAGAGCGGCTCTGTTGTCTCCCTCCCGCCCTGGAGTCCTGAGCTGGCTCAGGGAAGGATCTGGACCTGCTGGGTGTGGGAAGCGAGGTTCAGACAACTGAACGGGCTCCTAAGGGGCAGGGGATGCCGGCTGGGGTCTGGTGGACCCAAGAGAGACTTCCCCTGAGGAGTGGGATTCGTAGGTTTGTCCCCATGGCGTGCACACAGGTGGCCCATCAGGAGGCCGGTTCCTCTTCAAGGATGTGAGACACTGAATCGTGTTGTCCTGAATTCACAGTGAAGTCCTAACCACCAGCACCTGGAGGTGGTCTTTACAGGGAATCAAGCCAGCATGAGTTCCTTAGGGTGGGCCCTAATCCATTATGACTGGTGACTGAATGAAAATGGGGAATTAGGAGACAGACACTTGTCAAGGGAGGGTGCCATGTAGACCTGGAGACAGCCGTCTACCCGCCTAGGAGAGAAGCCTGGAACACATGCTTCCCTCAGGTCTCTCCGAGCAACCACTACCTGCTGACGCCTTGATTTCAATTTCTAGGCTCCACTGTGAGAATAAATGTGTGTTGCTGAGACCCGGGTCTGTGGCTCTTTGTTGTAGCAGCCCTGGGAATCTAAGACCGAGGCAAGGCCATGGCTGTGTTGCGCTGTGACGGGCTGTGGTCTCAGGGGAAGTGAGCCAGGCTGTGAGAATCAGGCCCTCTGGGGATGGCCAGGGCCAGGGAGACCACTGCCATGGCGCCTGAGGACTGCGGGCCCGAGCAAGGCTCAGGAGACCCTGGTCAGCAGGGCCCAGATGGTCAGCAAGGCTCGCTTCAGCCCCTTCTGAGGGGACACATCCTGTGTGTCAGGCACACAGGCCTGGCCCCTGTCCTGGGTGCCGGGGCCCCGCGGAGAGTCTCCAGCTCAGGCTCCCTGCAGGTCCTGTGACTTCCTGAGGGCAGGGTGGCAACAGAAGCTTCTCTGGATGTGGAGTGGGGTGCAGTCTGATCCAGGGCCCTGGTCGGCTCCCCCTGAAGCTTCCTCAAACTATGGTCCCAAGTCTGGACTTTCCTCCATCCCTCCCTGCGCTCCAGCTGATGGTGAGGGGGTCGCGGCCCAAACTGGGCTCAGGGATCCCGATCCGGCTCAGGGAGGGGGGCCCTGACCCGGTACCCCAGGTGTAAAGGACACGCCCTCCCCGCCCAGGCCCCTCAGACCTCTGGCTCCATGTCTTCCCCTCCTTCTGTCTCCCCTGCCCCCGTTTCTGCTTCTATTTCTGTCTCAGTTTCTGTTTCAAACACATACAACTTGTTTCCCAGCAGGGATTCACCCTCTCCGCCCCTCCCTGGCCAGTTCTTAAATCCCTGGCTCTCAGGGGCAGCGGGGCAGTGCTCAGCTGGAGCTCTGGGTGCAGGATCTCAAGTGAGGGGTTCTGGGGAGCCCGGCGTGGGGGTAGGGGAGAACTGCAGGCGGACGACCGTTCAGGGTGGTGGGCGAGCCCGCTTCCTGAAGCACTTTTCCTCTCACTCTTCTTCCACCAGGTCCCAGCGGGAGGACCCTAAGCCACCATGGGCTTCACTAGGGTGAGTGACTACGAGGGATAAGGGGAAAGTGGGCCTGGGGTCTCATTTGCCTCCTGTCCCTGCTCCCAGCCGCATAGCCCCAGCCCTGCTGACTGCTAGCTCACAGCAGATCTGTACCACCCTCCCTGGGTGCTGGGGTGGCCGCTGGGGTGGTCACTGGGGTGGCCGCTGGGGAAGGTGAAAGGGTGAGTCCAACTCATTGCGAACCGGGGACTGTAGCCCACCAGGCTCCCCTGTCCATGGGACTCTCCAGGCAGAGATGCTGGAGCGGGTTGCCATTTCCTTCCCCCTGGGGAAGAAGAGGGTCACAACGTGGGACCTGTGCCACCAAAGCACCCAGCCTCACAATGACCCTGCTCGAACGCTCTGCTGCACCATCCTGAAATTCTGGATAATCGTTTGCACACACGCTATAGTTTCCTGTTGTCCTGAGCCATTTCCTTCTGTAGCAGGTCCTGGCTGTGGGGCTGGGGCTCCTGCTGGGAGGTCGGTTTGGGGGGCAGCTCAGTGTGGGGGCCTCGGTTGGGACCGAGGAAGGAGCGATGGACCAGGGTGAGTGTAGGAATTAGAGTCGTCATGCTCATGGGGGAGTTAGACATGGAGCGTATGCGATGTCAGAGTTTTCAGCCATCCTCAGTCTCTTTCTAATGCTTATTTGTATTTATTGAATTTCTTTTTCTCAGGGATCTTAGTTGCAGCGTGTAGGGTCTAGTTCCCTGGCCAGGGTTGGAACCAACCTACCTACACTGAGTGCTGGGAGCCTTGGCTGCTGGACCACAAGGGAAAACACTCCAACCCCACCCCAATCCTTAGAATAGCCTGGAAACCCCTGTGTGGCGGGGCCAGACCACATGTTCCTGGAAACTGAAAGCATTTCTCTCAGGGCCCGGATCAGGAGCTGAAGCCACACTGAGCTCAGAGTCTATTCATTCCCTTTGGGGTGCTCTCCGCCCTCTGTACCAATCCCCCATCTCAATTCTGAGGGTGACCAGATGCTCAGGGGCTCTGGGCCATGGAACACCGGGATCTGGGAGTGGTCATCAGGGGTGACCCAGACTGAGCGCTCCTGCCCAGTGAGAGGACGATGCGGGCAGCTGAGTGTCTCCCTGGACCCGCAAGGTGCTTCCCTGCCCAGGCACGTGTGATGCGGGGCTGACAGGCTGGGCCCCGGACACAGCGTGTGCAGACGGGAGCCCTGCACACGCTGTGAGCCGCACTGACCCCCCAGGGCCAGGAGGGCAGCGGAGACACGCCAGATTCCTGCCGTTATGTGGAGTCTCCTGAGGGGTCAGTGGGGCACCTCCATGACGCATCAAGTGTCTGGAGGGGAAGGGGCTGGGCCGGGGGTCTGCAGGGTCAGAGGTCGGGAAGACTGGCCGCTGTCACCGTCAGCGGCTCAGACAGGACAGGACAGCGCCAGTTCCTCCCTGGTCAGCTCTCAGCGGGGCCACGGAGGGCTGGGCATCTGGGAACCAGGCTGACCCGCCTACTCCAGGGCAAGGGGCATCCTTGGGTGAGTGTGTGTGGGTGTAAAACAAGTCTCGGTGGTTACAAGGTCAGAAGCCTGAGTTTCACTTTTCCTCCACAGGGAGTCCCACATGACGCCGATTCGCTCAGGGCCCAAATGGTAAGAAGCTCATCTCCACGTATAGCTGGGGGCTCGGGAGGCCTGGGTTCTGCTGAGTGAGGCCGATAATGTTCTGGCCAACTTGGGATCCAGCAGGGAGAAGGACCGAGCTTCTTTTACTCAAATCCCTCTGTGTTCACAGGTCAACCATGTGAATCAGTTCTGTGATTTGCTGGAAAAGAAACCAGAAGAAGCACAGGTGGGTCAGTGTGGCCCACCCCCAAACCCTCCCCACGTTGAGGGAGGTGGGGTGGGGTCACAGTCATGGTGATGATGAGGGTCACAGCTCAGCGCCCAGTCCTTTCGCTGGACAAACGGACACCTGTGTGACAGGTGAGTGCACAGGAAGGGATACGGAGGCCCAGGGATGCTGAGGGAGGTGTCAGGACCACAGGGCAACGAGGGCAGGGCAGGGATGCCAGATGCATGGTCCCCAGGTTGAGGGTTAGTTATTGGGGTGACTGGGCAGAGATGAGAACTAGCTGGGGCTTGGGGTTCAGGGTGAAAGTGAGAGAGGGTGGGGGTGTTTTAAACAGAGTGCTTTTTTCTCAACAGATGGAGGCAGCCCAAGGAGAGATGGAGGTGAGTTTGGACCTCGCCGCCTGCTAAGGGTAGTCCTCAGAGTTGAATCAGCCAGGGTGTGGGGTCTGGGGCCCTGGCTCCCTTCAGACTCACCTGGATGCACGGGAGTCGGCAGTGCGGTCCCCTGACCTCAGCATCGAGGCAGGAGTGCAGACTGCACACTTCCTCTCCCCAGGAGGCACTCAGTGAGGACATCGTTGAATACCTGGAAGATCACATTCAAGAGAACCTTCCAGTGAGTTGGAGCCACTGTCTCAGCACCTTCCTTCCTCTCCCTCTGGCCTCTCTTGTCCTTGGTGCTGGCACATGTGCTCCCTGGAGTGGGGGGT